GAAGACAGTGGTGACATGACTGCTGTGATGGCTCAGGGGTCCTGAGTGAGTGGCATGCTCCCTCTAGGCTCCTGCAACTCCTGGCCGTCGTCCTCCTCCTCCTCCTGCTCCTCCTCCGTGCCCTGGTCAGGGCCCTCTGCCCCAGGGTCAATGACCTCCTAGGGGGGCACGGACCATCCAGCCCCCCAGGATACAGTCCAAAGCGTTGAAATAGGGTAAGGGGTCTGCTCCTGCTCCTGGTTGGGAGCTGCCCCCTGTGGCCCTGGCATAGACCTGCCTCAGCTCCTTTATCTTCATGCACACCTGCTCCTGGTTGCGCATGTGGCCTTTGGTGGCCAGGCTGTCAGTCATCCGCCTGCAGACAGCCGCGTTCCTGTGTCTAGTGCGGAGGTCATGGATGCTGGAGGATTCCCCCCAAACCTCAATGAGGTCCATGATCTCTGCACTGGACCAGGCAGGCGCCCGCCTTTTCCGGCTCCTGGCAGGCTCCGGGGAGCTGCCAGACTGCTCCTGGAGAGTGGTGGAGGGCTGGCTGGCACTGCCTGGCTGGCTCATGCTGGGACCTGGGTCTGGGCAGCTCCTGCAGGCTCTGGGCTGGCAGGCCTGGAGCTGGCACAGGCCCTGTGGCCAAACAGACTCTACCCCTTTAAGGGCTCCAGGGCTAGGGGTGGGAGAGGGGACGGGACAGGGGAGGGAGGAGAGGAGTTTTCTTGGTTTGGCCCAGAGTGGCCACCAAGGCACCCTGGGAAGGGCTAGAGGCTCCCTATTTCAAAATAAGCATCTATACAGCGCTTATTTTGATTTAGCTATTTCGAATTTGGCGTTATTCCTCGTAGAATGAGGTTTACCAAATTTGAAATAAGCCCTCCGCTATTTTGAATAAATTTTGAAATAGCAGTTTGGCTGTATAGACGCTAGGAAAGCTATTTCGAAATAACTTTGCTGTGTAGACATATCCGTAGGGTATGTCTACACTACTTTGCTAGTTCGAACTAGCGGGGTAATGTAGGCATACCGCACTTACAAATGAAGCCCGGGATTTGAATTTCCCGGGCTTCATTTGCATAAGCCGGCCGGCGCCATTTTTAAATGCCGGCTTGTTCGAACCCCGTGCCGCGCGGCTACACGCGGCACGGGCTAGATAGTGCGGAATGGCTTGCTAGTTCGAACTATCTGTACACCTCGTTCCACGAGGCGTACAGATAGTTCGAACTAGCAAGCCATTCCGCATTATCTAGCCCGTGCCGCGTGTAGCCGCGCGGCACGGGGTTCGAACAAGCCGGCATTTAAAAATGGCGCCGGCCGGCTTATGCAAATGAAGCCCGGGAAATTCAAATCCCGGGCTTCATTTGTAAGTGCGGTATGCCTACATTACCCCGCTAGTTCGAACTAGGGTGGTAGTGTAGACATACCCTTAGAGAGTAAGGAGGCAAAAGGATAAGAATGTGGTATTTGAATGGTCAAAGCTATCACACAACAAAGAAAGAGAATCACTTATATTAAGTATCTCCAAGACCAAAGGTGGAAAAGCCCTAATTATTGCATTCTAGGTCCATTCCACCAGCCAACAAAGGATTGTTTTTTAGTGTGCATTCTCCACAACTTTGTGGTCGATTCTCTCATGGAAAGTGGTGGAAGCTCTCTTGCTTAAGTTCTCAAAAACTAAACATTCTATCAAACCCAAGTGTTATGGTAAACTTCCTGATGTTCCACTTCAAATTTCATTTGCTCAGTTTCACACCATTACCCCTAGTTACTTGCCCTGAAGGCTTCCCTGAAAAGTTTCTCTGCATGGAATTTACATGTAGGCAGAAACATGGAGGGTAATGAAGAGCAGAGGACTAAGGTGCACTTCTCACAGCCAGATTAATTGGACAACTACAACATTTTTGTGGCACTGTAAGATTAGGGGTTTGGTTTTGGGGAAGGCAGGGCGGGGAATATGAGTTACATTATTTATATTAAAGGAGACACATGGCTGGACAAAAGATCCAAATGGCTAACCATTCTTAGATATTATTACTTATTGCTGCTGGATTTTCCACTCTGACCAAAATGAAGATTTCTGTACAAGTAGTGATGACAAAGAGGTCAACCAAAGCAAAGTAAATTTACAAACGAGAAACCACCACTGGAGTCTGGAATGGAAAAGTCACTGAACTATTTATTAGGATGCTGGAAAACATGAGATATTTAAAAGCTTCATCCTACCTAATAAATCAGGAAAGTGTGACTAAATATATCATATGTTCCAACTGTATGGAAATCCAGAACAGCCATGTGAGGAAATAACAAACAGTCCACTGTTTTAATAAAAATTCATAATGACAATAAAAGAAATAGCAGCCTTTGAATAGTGCATTTACACTACGTACTCGGAGGCAGCAGTCATAGACTTATATGCTTGTCCGATGTTCCAGTTTTATTGAGTCTTTTCCACCAGACAAGCCATCCAGAGTGATCTGGATCTTAGCTATCTTACAGTTACACCTCTGCCCTACAATGCTTGAACTGACCAGTTTGTACATTAAGATCTGGGAGCAGGATAGTTTCAGAGTAGAGTCCATGACTCTGGAATGCATTCCCTAATTTGGCCCAACACAGCTCAGTATTGTTGACTTTTTCACAGAATTCTATTTATCCAGATTTGTCTGAGAATGTGGAGGATGTTTAGGGGTGGAGTGCAGTTATTTTGTTTGTGCTAACAATCGATTAGCAGCTCTTTTATTGTAAATGCCCCTAAAAGTTGGCAATATAGGAATCTTATGAATGGAAATTACACTGTGCAGTGCTCTGTATACAACAAAAGCTAGAGAAGCAGCAAAAATTATCACACTTAAGGCCAAATTCTTTTCTCACATGGTGCAGATTGGGAGCAATTCTTGTGGAATTACACTGGTACAAAACAGATGTAAACAAGGAAGAACTCAGCCCTTAGATCTAGTTTTCGTTAACTCTAAGGCCCATTTACACAGCCAAGGAGGAGTAAAGGGACCTTCATATAAATGAAAAATCAGGCCATCTCATCTATGGGGGAAGGGAATCTGTTTGACAACTAGCAATGACATCTCTGTTTTGGGGTCCACTTTCATTCTATAGGGTCATCACATGCTGCACAAAATACTCCACTTCCATGTCACTGTTATCTTGACAACCCGTTTCTTAGTTTGAAACTACACATAACATTCTCACCAGCAACTATACACCGCACCACAGTAACTAACTCAGGAACCAATCCCTGCAACAAACCTCAGTACCAACTCTGCTCTCATATCTACATCAGTGACACCATCACAGGACCTAACCATATCAGCTACACCATCACTGGTTCATTCACCTGCACATCTACCAATGCAATATACGCCATCATGTGCCAGCAATGCCCCTCTGCTATATATATTGGCCAAACTGGACAGTCCCTCTGTAAAAGAATAAACCGACACAAATCTGATATTAGGAATGGCAATATACAAAAACTTGTAGGAGAACACTTCAATCTCCCTGGACACACAGTAGCAGATTTAAAGGTAACCATCCTGCAGCAAAAAAAAAGTCAAGACCAGACATCAAAGAGAAACTGCTGAGCTACAGTTCATCTGCAAATTTGACACCATCAATTTAGGATTAAACAAAGACTGTGAATGGCTAGCCAACTACAAAAGCAGTTTCTCCTCTCTTGATGTTCACACCTCCAGATCAGCTGCTAGAAGTGGGCCTCCCCACCCCTGAATTAATTAACCTGGTTATCTATAGCCTTATTCTGGCCTGCATATTTATACCTGCCTCTGGAAATTTCCACTACATGCATCTGATGAAGTGGGTTTTTGCCCACGAAAGCTTATGCTCCCATACATCTGTTAGTCTATAAGGTGCCACAGGACTCCTTGTCGCTTACACATAACATTGATAACATTTTAGCTTAAAGGGAGAGATCAGTGACTAGGTTGGAGAAGCAAGTCAGAAAGAAGGGAAACATAACATCACAAAGGCTGGGGGAAAAAAAGCAGCAGCCTGTTCAAGAAGGACAATAAGGAAGGGAGGCTATACCTGACAGCGTGTAGGGCTTCATTTCACTGTCGAAACCAATTTCCCTTGTCTTGCTTTACTATACAAAAAATTACAGTCCAATTATCCAAGAACTGGTTATTCTTACCAAAGAAAGCATTCAGCAACTTCTGCACCTGTATATTGCTGCCAACGGTTCGGTACACTCCCTCAGTAGTGATCCCTGGGCAAAAGAATGAAGAAAAGAATTAGTCTAGTGTCCTTTCATGATTATAGATGTTAAACAGCGACATCTAGTGTTGCAAAACATCACAGATTGTCTCCAGGTCTGCCACAAAGTGACAGCACTTAGGTGAAGAGCTGAGTGACCAATGCAGAAGAAACTATTTTTTAAGATCGCTCATGAACACATCATATTAATCTGGACTTTATTAGGCAAAATGATTCACCAGATAACTTCTGCAAACAGTTTTTGTTCCATAACCAATAACCAAACAACTGGTTGTAAATATTCAGTATTGTAAATCTGAGCAGTTACACAAAAGTCACACAATATATTTCTATTGACTAGCTCCACAATATATTTCTATTGACTAGCTCAGTGACACTGAGAGAATTATATTTTAAAAATGATTACTCTTAACCACTAATCTGAAATTCACTTTTTGAGAGTTCTGCAATATTTGCTTAAAATCTGCTGTTTCTGGAAATATTAAAAACATAAAACTGACCGTACTAATTCATCTAACCAAATATCCTGTCTTCCAACAGGGGCTGCTGCCCGATGTTTCAGAGGAAATGAACATAACAGGGATAATTACTGAATTATCCATTCCCTGTTGTCAAGCCAAAGCTTCTAGTAGCCAGATGATTAGGGGCACCTAAGGCATGGAGTTGCATCCTAGACCATCTTGGCTAATAGCCATTGATGAACTATCCTCCATGAACTTATCAAATTTTTTTCTTTAACTCAGTTATACTTTTGGGCTGTGTCTACACTGGGCCACTTATTCCGGAAAATCAGCTGCTTTTCCGGAATAAGCTGCGAGCTGTCTACACTGGCCCTTGAATTTCCGGAAAAGCAATGATGCTCTACTGTACAAAATCAACCGCTATTCCGGAAAAACTATTCTGCTCCCGCTCAGGCATAAGTCCTTATTCCGAAACACTGTTCCGGAAAAGGGCCAGTGTAGACAGCCCAGTAGTCTTTTCCGGAAAAAAGCCCCGATCGCGAAAATGACGCTCGGAGCTCTTTTCTGGAAAAGCGTGTCTACATTGGCCACGGACGCTTTTCCGGAAAAAGGGCTTTTCCAGAAAAGCAGCCTGTCAATGTAGATGCTCCTTTTCCGGAAATACTTATAATGAAAACTATTCTGTTTTAAGCATTTCCGGAAAGTCATGCCAGTGTAGACACAGCCCACGTGTTCACAGATCTTCTGGCAAGAAGTTCCACAAGTTAACTGTGAGTTACAAAAAGTAGTACTTTCTTACATTCATTTTTAACCTGCTGCTTATTAATTTCATTGGGTAACCTTTGGTTCTTGTGTTATGTGAAGGTTTAAATAACACGTCCTTATCCCTTTTCTCCACATCACTCATGACTTTATAGATCTATATCATATTCTGCCCTTAGTCATCTCTTTACCAAACTGAACAATGCAAGTCTTTTTAATCTTTCTTCATATAGAAGCCCTAATTATTTTATTTTTTTTTGTTTTCTGTGCAGTTTTGCCAATAATAATATATATCTTTTTTGAGATGGGAAGATGAGAACTGCACACAGCAGTAAAGGTGTGGTGGTACTACAGATGTATATAGTGGCATTATGATACTATCTGTCTTATTATCTATCCTTTTTCTAATGATTCCTTTCATATTATTAGGTTTGGTTTTTTTTGACTGCTGCCGCACACTGAATAAATGTTTTCAAAGAGCGATTCACAATGACTCCAAGATCTCTTTCTTGAGTGGTAACAGCTAATTTAGACCCCCTTGTTTTATATTCATATTTGGGATAATGTCTCCAATTTGCATTACTTTCCATTTATCAACATTGAAGTTTATCTGCCATTTTGTTGCCCAGCCCTTGAGGGAGCCCTTGGCAACTCTTTGTAATCAGCTTTGAACTTAAGTGCCTTGACCAGATTTGTATCATCTGGAAATTTTGCCATCTCACTGCATACCCCTTTTTCCAGATCATTTATGAGCATGTTGAATAGCACTGAACCCAGTTCAGAAATTGGGAGATTCCCACTATTTACTTCTCTCAACATTTTTTTAAAATCATTAACTAGTTTGCTAGAAAAGTCAAAGATAGTGACTACATTCAAAGCACATTTTTTCAAGCCTAGACTAATATTTGCAAGGGTTTTTTTTTCATTATTTGCCAAACTCTACTATGCTTTTAAGTCAGTTTGTGGGTATTCAGCATGGTTGGCTGGAGTTTTCAAAGCAGCATTGAAGATCTATCATATTACTCATTAATTTTAGAGAGAGTTGTATGGTTAAAATCCTGCAGAAAGCTTTGCAAAAAAAATCTCATTCCACATAGTATGCTTCTCACAAAATAAATCTGAATAATTCTTTAAGATATTCTCCAAACTCAAAATTGCCCAAAATATTGTCTAACCAATTCAACCTTGGCCTGCATGTGATATATCAGCCCCCAAGGAAAATTTCTATTCACAAGTGAGTAAAAGCACAGTGAAAGGGAGAATTCAATCTTGACTAGAGTTTGTCTCTGCAAAATGTTCTAATGGGGAGTAAGGTTTCTCTTGTTTTGTAGGCACATTCTTAATTTTGTGACATCAGTCTTTGATAAAAGGTTTAGAAAATATGACCTATAAGGAAAGGTTAAAAAAAACTAGGTATGTTTAGTCTTGAGAAAAGAAGAGTGAGGGGCAATTTGATAAAAATCTTCCAATATGTTAAAGGCTGTTACAAAAGGGACTGTGATCAGTTGTTCTCCATACCTTCCAAAGGTACGGCAAGAAATAATGGTCTTTATCTGCAGCAAGAAAGATTTAGATTTGATATTAGGAAAAACTTTCTGACTATAATGGTATGTAAGCTCTAGAGTAGGCTTCCAAAGGAGACTGTGAAATCCTCTTCACTGGAGGTTTGGAAGAACAGATTGGGCAAACATCTCTGAAGGATGGTCTAGGAGGTCTCTGGTCTTGCCTCAGCGCAGAGGTCCAGATGTGATGACTTTTCAAGGTTTCTTATAGCCCTACATTTCTATAATTCTGTGATTTGTAGATCCATTTGCTATCATATTAGAGAAATCACAGCACAATCAATGCCATTCAAGAAAGTAAATGCCAAAAAAGCAAATAGTTTCCAAATGCAGTGCTGAGATCTTACCTTTGGTCTCCACTGCATTGATGCATTTCCTTACAAACTTGAAGCCAACCTCATTCAACTCCACTATTTCAAACAAAGGGAAGCAAAGTTAGTTGCCAGAACATCAACATGCAATTACTCGTGGAAAACCCGAAGAAGTAGCAAGTTACTGAAAGTATTAAACCTTGCAACAAGTTTGCTACATTTATTGGAGCTGCATTTTCAAAGCTACGCACAGGCACAATTTCGTATGCAAACACCTTGCTATGTTGGTGCAAGCCAGGACCTGTGCATGCATGCAGCTCACCTCATGCATATACTTTCAAGGATTTGTTATATGGGTTCTTATGCAAAAGCACACTAAGATTCTGACAAGAAATTGTTCATTTCCGCTTGCTCTCCTTTTTGTCCTCTTGAACTTGTTTTAACAGTAGACTTTTGAGGTTTTTTGGTAAAACTGTAATTTGGAGAGTTCAGAGCTAATCTGTGGCTTCTTAAGTATGGCAAAATCTGCAATCCAACCTCTGCCACATCAAAAGAATAAACAAACTTCCATATATTGTGTATCTACTTTGTAAGGGTATGTCTACACTACCCCCCTAGTTCGAACTAGGGGGGGTAATGTAATCATACAGAGTTGCAAATGAAGCCCGGGATTTGAATTTCCCGGGTGTCATTTGCATAAAGCCAGCCGGCGCCATGTTTAAATGCCGGCTAGTTCGGACCCCGTGCCGCGCCCCTACATGCAGCACGGACTAGCTAGTTCGGATTAGGGTTCCTAATCCGAACTAGCTAGTCCGTGCTGCATGTAGGGGCGCGGCACGGGGTCCGAATTAGCCGGCATTTAAAAATGGCGCCGGCCGGCTTTATGCAAATGAATCCCGGGAAATTCAAATCCCGGGCTTCATTTGCAACTCCGTATGATTACATTACCCCCCCTAGTTCGAACTAGGGGGGTAGTGTAGACATACCCTAAGAGAGTAGAAAACAACAGGATTCTACTTAGGTAGCACAAATGTTAAGGCAGGGAAGGGGAACCTTTTATGGGTCAGGGGACATTGACTCTCAGAAAAACTAGTTGGAAGCAAAAACCATCCAACCAACCAAACAAAAAAACCACACCTCCCGAACATAGCCCCCCACTGAGAAGAAGAAAGACACTCCTCATATTCCCCTCACATGCCAGAGCCTAGAGCAGTGGTCTCAACCTTTTTGGGTGGTAGGCGCTATGTGGGGCTGCCAGGCCACCCAACAGTAGGGCTGAGCATGCACCGTGCACCTCGGGGTGGCGGTAGGTGGGTGCACATAAATGCCCCGGCGGGTGCCATGGTACCTGCGGGCACCGCGTTGGGGACCCCTGGCCTAGAGGGGCCCAGGTGGGAGGGCTTGAGCACCAGCACAGGCTCCCCAATTTTGGGAGACCTGAACCTCAAGGGCTGGATCCAGGCAAGCCAGGGGCTGCATTGGGCCCTGAGGCCTTAGGTTCTCCACCCCAGGGTTAAGGAGAAGACAGGTTTTTCTCCCCACTGATTAACCAGCAGGATTTTCTCCCCACTGATTAACACACCTTCCCTGCAGGATTCTCAACAGGTGGAAGGAGGAAAATTAGTTTCCTTTGGGTTAATTCAAACCTCACTGAAGTGAATCAGGCTCTTTCTGTTTACTTCAAGGGACAATGAATCGGGACCCTTAGCTCCTTACCTAGTCCTGCAACTTTACTCAAATGAATTACCTTTATTCACTAATTCTTCCACTGACTTCAGTAGGATTACTTGTGTAATTAAGGATCACAGGATAGGATGCAAATGTGTTTCTGTTAGTGTCAAAAGCTTTTTACACTGAAGGAGCTTTCCATCTGTTGCAAACAAGTATTTTGAACTTCTCTCAAACGTTAGTGTTTAATGTGTTTTTTTATTGAGCAGAGGAATGGGGCTCTGTGTTTGATTCATATTGCCCTTCAGATCAGAAGCAGAGTTTGATCAGAGGATATGAGCCATGGCTAGAGCTAGTCAGGAAACCAGAATTTTTCTGGAAAGAAATAATATTAAAAATAAAATCTGCATTCAATTATTTTTTTTAACAAAATTGTCATTTTAAATCAACACATAGAAATTAGGGCAGTTAACTCATGAGATTCATTTTTCATAAAGATTATTTTTTGAGTTAAGCACAGTTTTAATAGCACTGTTAAACAATAGGAGCATATCAATTGAAATTCAGTAAATATGTTTTGGGTGTTTTTCTACATTTTCAAATATATTGATTTCAATTACAATATAAAACGAAGTGCATAGTGCTCATTTTAGATTATTTTATTACAAATATTTGCACTGTAAAATGATAAATGAAATAGTATTTGTCAGGTCACCTCATACAAGCTGTAGTGCAATCTCTGTCTTATGAAAAGTGCAATTTACAAATGTAGATTTTTTTTGTTACATAACTGCACTCAAAAACAATGTAATACTTTTGTACCTACCAGCCTACTCAGTCCTATTTGTTTGCTAAGCCAAATAAGTTGGTTTATATTTACGGAAAATAATACTGCCCACTTCTTATTTACAATGTCATCGGATAGTCAGAACAGGCATTGCAAGGTATTTACGTACCAGATATGCTAAACATTCCCATGCCCCTTCATGCTTCAGTCACCATTCCAGAGGAAAGGCTTCCAGGCTGATGACGCTTATTAAAAAAATGTGTTAATTACATTTGTGACCCAACTCGTTCATGCTTCAGTCACCATTCCAGAGGAAAGGCTTCCAGGCTGATGACGCTTATTAAAAAAATGTGTTAATTACATTTGTGACCCAACTCGTTGGGGGAGAACTGTATGTCTCCTGCTCTGTTTTACTTATATTCTGCCTCATATTTCATGTTATAGCAGTCTCAGATGATGACCAAACATGTTTGTCATTTTAAGAACACTTACACTGCAGATTTGACAAAACATAAAGGTGGTACAAATCTGAGATTTCTAAAGCTACAGCACTCGACCCAAGGTTTAAGACTCTGAAATGCCTTCCAAAATCCGAGGGGGATGAGATCTGGAACATACTTTCAGGAGTCACAGAAGAGCAACACTCTGATGTGGAAACTACTGAACCCAAATCTCCAAAGAAGAAAATCAACTTTCTTCTTCTGACATCTGATGATGAAAATGTAGATACGTTGGTCTGCACTGCTTTGGATTGTTACTGTACAGATCCCATCATCAGCATGGATTCATATCCTCTGGAATGGTGGTTGAAGTAGGAAGGGATTCATGAATCTTCAGGACATCTGGAATGTAAATACCTTATGTCTCCAGCACAACAGTGTTAAGTGAATGCCTGTTCTCACTTTCAGGGGACATTGTAAATAAGAAGTAGGCAGCATTATCTCTTGCAAATGTAAACAAATTGGTTTTTCTGACAATTGGCTGAACAAAAAGTAGGACTGAATGGATTATTTTATTTTTGAATGAAATTATTTTTGTACATAATTTTACATTTGTAAATTGCACTTTCACAATAAAGTGATTGCACTACAGTACTTGTATGAGGTAACTGAAAAATATTATTTCTTCTGTTTTGTATAATGCAATTATTTGTAAGCAAATATAAAGTGAGCACTGTACACTTTGTATTCCATGTTGCAATTGAAATTAATGTATTTGAAAATGTAGAAAACATACAAAATATTTAACAGCATTCTATTATTGTTTTAAGAGCACAATTGAAATTCGTATTTTAATCTCGACAGTCCTAGTAGAAATGAAACAAAAATTTCTGTTTCAACTTAAAATGTTTTTTTCATTTTCAAAGCCAAACAGTTGAGGTCAATTATATCAAATTTTCATGTAGGAAAACCAAAATGTTTTTAATATGAAGAAAATTGGTTTTGACAAAATATGTTTTGTTCTCTGGGACAAAAATCCACACCCATAAATTTGAACCAGTTCTAATCCTGGCACAAACTCTAGGGAGAACTTGGGTGAATCAGTTTACTGCAGACATCCCACACTCATCAGCAGGTCAGTGAGTTATAAGGAACCTCCCTGCCCAGAGTATCCTTAGTGGAAACTTCAGATAGAACAGCTTTCGGGTAAGGCCAAAACAAATGTTAGCAGAGATTCTGTGTCTAGATTGTAGCGATTGGGGTAGTAACCACTGATAATATTTCTAATTCCAAATTGTTAAAACACAGGGTTTACCTGACTGCACCTAATGATAACTGATCAGTTTGAGGTATATGTAGGAAGGATATTCTTCAATCCTAGCTATAATCTAATTAAGAGAAAGTAGTTTAAGAAAGTACTCCCCGGGTCCAAGTCACTGACTGGCCATGTCTCCAGAGTCAGAAAGCAGATTTTCAAACTCATTGCAGGTACCTGAGTAATAATCTACACAACTTTCCAGTCCAATATACTGAGATATTAGAGGTAGCATGGTTGTAAGGACTTTACATTACCGACTATGGATACATCTACACTGTGGGGCTATTTCAGGATACCGGAAGTATCCAGAAATAGCTATTCCACATCTATTGAAGCAGCCTGTTATTTCAAAATAAAGGGAGGCTTATTCCAATGTCCTGGTAATCCTCATTTCATGAGGGTTAAGGGGCCTTTCGGAATAGTGCTTTATTTCGAAATTTGGCACTGTGTAGACAGTACCAAATTTTGAAATAAGCTATTTTGAAAGATACTCAAAATAAGCTATGCAATTTGCGTAGCACAAATTGCGTAGCTTATTTCGAGGCAAGGATGCTGTATAGGTGCACCCTAAATGAATATGAAATGAAGGGGGAAAGCTAAAAGGGATAACACGTTAGCAAGCTGCAATGAGATGTGGGCATATGCAGATTCAACTTATTAAATATGTGCAGTATCTGATAGCACTCACAACCTAGCTCTGATAAGGAGAGTTGGGAGAACTAAAGTGCTGTGGAATTTCAAGAAACCCCTACAACCTTTTATTCTGTTGTTTTATATTTATAAAACTTTTTCTTATATTGTGGAACTCTTTTTTCCAGTTAAGTGAAACTACATTTTACGTGGAAATTTCATTGTTAATGTCCTGTAGTTTTCACTAAATGGATGCCTGTGCTTTGCAAACAAATATTCTTGTTTGAAAGCCATTCTTGTCTCACTTCAATGGCAACCAATGGGATAAAATCGAAGAAGTCACACTGCAGCCCAGAACTCATGTTTAGGTGAGAGCAATAGGGTTGCCAGATGGTTTAACCAAAAATACCGAGTACCACACCCCCAAAAAACACCATGGAAAAAAAGGGGGACACCAAAGTTGTTGAGGAAGAGGAAAAAAAACCAGCATTAAAACAGCATGGCCCTTTCGGTGTGTGCAGAGTCAGAATAGGGATAGGAACACGGGAGCGGTTGAGCACTAAGACCCAGGGAAGGCATTGCTTCCCCTTGGTCTTTAGGCTTTTTGCTGGTGGCCATTTTGTTTTCTTGATCAAGCCAGAATGCAGCTTCCCTGTGGAACCAGGTAAGCAGGGAGTCCGGGGGCAAGGGGTGTCGGGGACTGGCCCAGTTGCCGAGAGTGTGGTAGGGTTGCCAGATGTCTGATATTTTTGCCTCCTGGCAGGGAAAAAAAACCCAGAAAATACCGGACATTTTAGGTGTCCGATATTTTCTGAATTTTTTCACCCGACAGGAAGCAAAAATACCGAACAGTCCGGGTCAATACCGGACACCTGGCAACCCTAGAGAGCCAACTAGGGGTATGTCTACACTACAAAGTTAGTTCAAACTAACGGACGTTAGTTCGAACTAACTTTCATAGGCGCTACACTAGCGCTCCGTTAGTTTTAATTTAATTCGAACTAACGGAGCGTTTAGTTCGAACTAGGTAATCCTCACTCCACGAGGATTAAGCCTAGTTTGAACTAGCTAGTTCGAATTAAGGGGTGTGTAGCCCCTTAATTCGAACTAGTGGGAGGCTAGCCCTCCCCGGGTTTCCCTAGTGGCCACTCTGGCCAACACCAGGGAAACTCTATGCCCTCCTCCCGGCCCCGGACCCCTTAAAGGGGCACGGGCTGGCTACGGTGCCCGTGCCAGGTGCAAGCCTGCCAGCACCCAGCCAGCAGACCCTGT